ATATTTATTTTATTTATTATTTTCATTTTATGTATATGAGTGTATTGCCTGCATATAGATAAGTGCACCCACATCGTGCAATACCCACGGAGGACAGAAGAGGCCATCAGATCCCCTGGAACTGGAGCTATGGACAGTTGTTAGCTGCCATGTGGGTGCTGGGATTCAAACCCAGGTCTTCTGCAAGAACAAACAGTGTTCTTAACCTATGAGCTATCTCTCCAGCCCCTCATTAGTTTTATTTTTTGAAACAGGAAAAAAATTGAAGTTATATTCTTAATCATTTGGAAGAAAAATGTCTGCATCAAATAGTACAAAAGTGAACTGTCTTGTCAGTTTGTATAAATTAATCTACAAAAATACTGAAACATTATATAAGACTATTAGCAAAGAAAGACTGTGTGGTTCCCATGAGGCCCCATTATGTTATTATTTCATGCAACAAATGTAGAAAGCTCTTGTATTTTCAGTGCCTAAGGAAAAAAAAATCTTGGTGTACATAGGCTAGTAAGTCATTAGGATTGCTCATAAAAGCCTTATTTTACAAGCTGGGCATGCCTTTAATCCCAGCACCTTAGGAGGAAGAAGAAGTTGAAATTCTTTCAAGTCAAGATCAAGTTGGTACACTGTAATGCCTAGTCAGTCAGGCTACAGGAAGTCCTGTCTGAGTTAAAAAAATTAGTATTTTACATTTCCTCATTTTTATTGAAGTATGATAGTTTCATTTTAATTTTTGTATTTGATTTAAAGATTTGTAGTTTAATTTGATGGTTCATGGTGGCAAAAGTTCTCAGTCCATGTTTATTTCAAACTTTCATGCAATTTGTTTCACTATATATTTTATATAAGATTGATGGAGTTCCTGTAACAAGAAATGATGCTTTATCAACACACAACATTCAATGATTTTCACTATTATACTGCTTAACATATTAGATATTTCAATTTACCTGCAATTATATATAAATTCTGCTGTTTCCTTTTACTTCTATACAAATGAGATAACTTAATATGATTTCTGAAATATTATTCTACTATCTATTGTTAATAAGCATACTGAATGAAAAATTTCAATACAGATTTTCAATTTTGTTTTTATTCTATACTTAAATATTTTTATCAAGTGATGCATTACTGATTAATACTGGATGTGAATATAAGGGAATTCTTCAGTGTTTACTACTGTTTCATCTTGGGTGTGTATGTGAAGACCTGAATCTCTGTGTGTGTGTGTGTGTGTGTGTGTGTGTGTGATAGAATGAGAAAGAAAGAGAAATACAGAGGAAGAGGTTAGTCTATGCATGTGTCCATGTCACTGCCTTTCAACCATAATTTGTCTTCGTTTTTCTCTGGAATTTGTCTCCACCACTGGATAAGCCAGACAATCTGGCACAGATGCTTCTAGATGTTCTATCTGACCACCCACTCCCCAAAGTCTGCTGGGATTACATACTCTTCAACAATGCCTCTGGTTTCTAGGTGTGTGGTGTTTACTGTGCACTGTGGCATTACATTTATGTCTTTGTAAAAACAGACTGACTCTTAGCATCAATTATAAAGTCAAGGGCACATGTGAACTGATGAGAACTGTTCCTTTAGGTTTATTTG